ATGATATGTCTGCCATCCTATACTATAGTCCCTTTGACTCCACCATGTCAGCTTTCTATGACAAACACTGGATATACCTCAGTTACGAAACCAACAGTCTGCATTGTTGAACAACTATGTGCACTTTTTGTAGCTGACTTGAACACCATGTAAAGTGTTAACGGAAACTGATGCTATTCTGGGAAAATCCAGTTCATGACGGAAAAGATTTTTTCGTCTGACCCATCCCACTTTTTGTCATGTTTTAGGAATGTACAGTTATGAACCCCCAACCCGTATCACTGACAGCCGTGCTGACTGGAAATTGAGCTTTTTATTTTTTATTTTTGAGGCTGTCCTGGCCTCACTGCCTATGAGGGTTTAAAGAAAAACTGGTGTATCAGAAAATTTGTTCTTTTCACAATAAATAAAAAACAAAAAAAGGTTAATAAGTGGTTGAAGTGTGTTTTATTTCCAAGCTCGGGATGTTTTGTTTCAACTCCTATGGACAATTTAATTTGTTCTCTGGTTCGCCTACTTTTTTCTGACTTGCAAAAAAAAAAGTCAGGTTCTGAAGCAACTTCGTCTAACTAATTTTCCATCTATCAATGTTGTGAGCCTATAACTGAACTTATAACTGTGAGCGTTACTGAGCTTATAACTGATTAAAACTGCAACACACTCAGTATACTAGGTAGACGTGTACTACGTGCAGGGATTTTTCTGCATCATTCACAAAATACTAGTAAACAGCTTGCAGCCATCAGGACACTCCCAACAAGTCTATGGTTGATCTGCAGGAAGAAACTACTCTTCATTATGGGTTCACCACACCACGAAGTGGTGTGGTGAAACCATATTGCTTTTTCTGATGTTTCTTCTCCTTCTCCTCCTCCTCCTCCTCCTGCCATATCTTTAAATGGATTCAGCTTCTTCATTTTAGGGCCTAAGGTCCTGAAATTTGGTATGGAGGTACAGTGGGCAAATACCCCTAGGCGTTTTTTAAATTATTGTGATACAGGCTTTTAGAATGGTTTTATTTGAGTTTTTGGTCTGTGTTATAGCAAATGTATTACTGTGTTAGTCTGCCTTGTTTACCACGTTTGGGCATGAGTCATCAGAATGGAATGCAGGGCATCAACCAATAGGCATGCAGCTTTCCTCTATACTTCTTGCTGATTGGCTGTTGGGATTTAACTTGATTAACACCTGCACAGAAGCATTTCCATACTGACAGTATGTCTGTATTCAAGTGTTTTGGTAGGTATTTCAAGCTTTCCTGCTCCAGCATTGGAATGCCGGGCATGGTACGTTTTTTTTTTTATTTTGAAAATCAACAGTTTGCATTATGCAATTAAAAATCCTAACCAATAAAGTAGGGAATAGCTATCCAACTGTTGTTTTAGTTGTATTTTACTTCATATTATAGTTATATCAATGTAAATCATTGTTTTCCCTTGTGTTTCCCATTCTTTCCCTGCCATGTCGTAAAATGTGGTGAACCCATCGCTGTATTTGCTCCAAAGCAAATATTGGCCTTTCTAGTTAAAAGTTTAAAATTCATTGTTTAAATTTTGAACCAGCATGGTATGTTGACTTCATGGCTCCTATCGTACCATTTTGGGCCATAATAGGATGCCTAGGCCTGTTTTTATTTTTTTTCGCCCGCCCGCTCCATTATTTTTCTAGAAAAATCCGTTAACCAAGAAATTAAATTGGTGTGGCCTTAAGTTAGATTCTGATCTATTTGTTATGGCTTCACCACAAAGTGGTGAAGACATATTGTGTTCCCTCATGTTTCTTCTCCTTCTCCTTCTCCTCCTGCCATTTCTTTAAATGGATTCATCTCTGCCATTTTCCGGCCAAATAACACGAAATTTGGCATGAAGGTAGAGTGGGCAAATACCCTGACGCGTTTTTTTCATTTTTTTGAAAAATTGTTTTATTTGGGTTTTTTGGCCATTTTCAGGCAAAAAATATACATTTTGAGATCTGGTTCCCAGGTACTAAAACCAAATGACCTGAAATTTGGTATGGGGATACCTTGGACATATGTCTACAAAAATTCATTCAAGCTTTTGACATACACCACTTTATAATTGGGAAAAATAAGGCTTTTTGGCTATTTTCGGACCAAAAATGTACATGTTTGGCTCCTGTGCCCTAATATTAAATCTGAATGACCTGAAATTCGGTATGGGGATACCTTGGACACATGTCCAAAGAATGCCATTCACGATTTTGACATATACCACTTTAAAATTGTGTAAAATAGGGCTTTTTTGCTATTTTCGGACCAAAAAAGTACATTTTTGGCTCCTGTGCCCTAATATTAAATCCGAATGACCTGAAATTTGGTATGGGGATACCTTGGACACATGTCCAAAGAATGTCATTCTCGATTTTGACATACACCACTTTAAAGTTATGTAAAATAGGGCTTTTTGGCTATTTCCGGCATTGGAAGGTTCCATTGCTGCAGTGGGGGTGTAGACTATTGGCAGCCATCGTAGGATAGATCCATTTTCGGTATGGGGGATGTGGTGAAGCCATCTGCTGCATTTGCTCTCAAGCAAATGTCTGCCTTTCTAGTTTATGAATACCTTTCCTTCTCAATGACGCATTGGTAACATAAAAACGTGATATTTGGACAAACCTATGGTCAATGCAATGTCATTGGCATAAACTTATCCACGGTCCCTAAATAGCGCCGCCAAACGGCTGTAATTATCATTGCAGAAGAACCCATATCTAGCAACGGCAAATATGAAACGAACCGCTAGACATCCTCACTGACACGTGCGGATGATTCAAATAACTGACATACTGCGACGTAAGATTTTCATCAGGCGAAAAGTGGAACCTAAGGGTCAAAGTTTAAAACTTGTTTACTGAGTGAATGAAGACGTCATCATAATGTTTCTTGACGTTGATCTTCGAGGCCAGGCAAGTGTTGAACCTGTAGACTATGTAACAGGCTTGACCCGTCCGTGATTTATGGGGCCTAGTTAGGCCATGTTGATTTGATTATATGGATGACATCCTCCGGGAACCCCAAAACTGCGCGCGTGCGAATAAAAAAAAAGTTTTGCAAAAAAAAAAAGTTGTTTTCATTATGAAATCTACGTGGTCATGAGGGTTGAACAAATGGGACAGAATATGGTTTGGCGAATAATCTAGTCTTCAAGTTCATTTCTTTACAATTTCGACTTTTTTCATTTGATTTTGGCATTCTACGACATTGGTATTTTGTAACTTACGGTATATTTTTGCTCATTTTGCAACTGTTTTGTACGATATACAGTATGGTTGAAAACTTTTTTTTTTGAAACGGCCGAAAATTCATGCGCGCGAGGGTGTCATCCATATAATCAAATCAACATGGCCTTACCTATGACGTAGTGCTTAGTAGCCAGATTTACATCCTTATCTCCTTAGCTCATTTACATGCTCATTAGATTAGCCAATGACTGGTGAGAGCAGTCAGCCAGCGGAATAAGTTAGCCCGCTGCCATTTGAATTGAGTCGAGGCCAGGGTTTCAGGTTAGTAACATACACTCTGCATTAGCTCCGTTGTAGACTGCATATACATGTAGTTCCATCTGTACTAGACCATTGCATATCTGTGTTGTAGTAGATCTGTAACTCTAAGACTAGCTTGTAGATGTACAGCTGAAGCACAATACTGTTACAACAACCCGTACAATCGAAATCGATCCAGCTCCGTATCTTATATCTTTAGTGGTCAATGTTAACAGATAAGGTAGACACGAAAGTAAGATTGGCCCAACACCTAAAAACTACATGCGTGCCAGAGGTGATAAATATACTTCATTCTAGAGTTATAAATGCACGTCAAAATGTGATTTTGCGATCAGCTGATTCCTTGCAGAAGTCGTCACATCCTTTGCCAAATGTTTGCAGAAGCGAGTTTTTCGCTGTCGATCTCATTAACATATGAATGAAAACCAAGCAGATAGTAGGAGGGAAATCGTGCCTTTGCTCGGTGGGTATCGCCATAGTTCCGTAACATCTAATCTAGTAAACTACCGGCTTCTTGTTAGCTTTGGCTGGCTGACACGTGTTGGGTCACAGGAGAGAATCATGAAACAAACATAAACTGCAATCGTTCAGAATTCTCGCATTATTCCTTTATTGGATAAACCAAGGACATTATCTGTATAGTGTTCTTGTCCTTGGATAAACGTTAATAAAAGTACAAATGAGCCTTGACAAACGTTACGAAAGAAGCTTTGTAAGCTTCACTTATGCCGCGCGGATTCAGATGTACAGGTTTATCTTTCACCCTTACAGCTAGCTCGTAATGTTTTCTGTTCCTCTCTTTACATGCGGTAAAAAGCCCGCCCGTGACTCTGAATTCATTACGATCCGTCACCCCAACATCTGCTTGGACGCCGTATCCGCAATCTTCAAGCAGTGGGAGGAGTAACGTTGAAAATAAACACACTTACTACAATGGACAATAGCTTTCAGACAGTTTATTTCAAACAAGCATTGCTTTACAGTTTCGATACAAATTTCTGCATATATTCCTATGATGAAACATTTGAAAAAAAGTTAAAGTTATGATAAATACTTGACTTCAGAGTTATGATATTGAATTTTGTCCCTGTCGATTACCAAGCCGATGTTACGATATATTACGACAATCCACAAGCAAAGTTGGATTTTACGTCCCACCTCTGACATCGCACCATCCTAAGATAACTACTCCCGCAACTACAACAACAAGAATGATGATAAGTCCAATGACGTGACACTTTAGCCAGTTCTGTCGGCTCCTGTGTGACTCTTCTTTCGATAACGCTCGCTCTTCCCTGTTCCGTCCTCTCGTTTTCCCGCGCCGTCTCTTGGCAGTCTTGCGCACTTTCCGCGGCTCTTCTTGGACTGACCTCTCAGATGCCTGGGGTGATCTCAGCCGTCGCTCTCTCTTCGCCCTCATGGCAGCTCTCAGCTGCAGACTCCCGATGTACGTATCAGGGTGTGTCTCCACCGACAGAGTGTTGTGGACGACAATGTTGTGATCCGCGCACGACTTTGACAGTTGGTCTAGCTCAGTCATGGCGTCTTCCGCGTTGTCTCCCACCACATCGCCTGAGAGGTGTAGAATGAACGGACGCTCCAGTTCCCTGTCCTCCTGTCGTTCATTCAAGCACGCCGTGACGGCAGAGACCGTCCGATCAACAAAGAACTTGCCGTTCAGGACAAGGGAGCCAAGTTTATCGTTCGCCATAGCGGCTTTCACCAATTCTACAAGCGACTCCCCGTCTTCAAACTTGCCGCAGAGCACCAGTCTTTCCAGAGTGGCGGAGACTCTGACGTGGATGGCTAGCGTTGCGAGGAAGGACGGGAACATCGTGTGCCAGGAATAGGTGATGTCTGTGACGTTGGCGTTTGTCTTCACAATGTCTGCGAAGATGCGAGCCTCTCGCTGAAGGACACAGTTAAACAAGAGTTCGACAGACGCCGCGCTTGTTTGGCAAAGACCCTCACACAGCGTGTCAGCTAGCGGCTCGCGGGTGTCCTCCGACACTGTCGTCAACCGGATACTCACAGCTTCCAGCTTCCGGTTCTTTTCTAGAATTCTAGCCAGAGATTTTGCACCTGTCATGGTCAAGTGTCCTCTTCCTTTGACCTGACCGACAACGTGGAGAGCCTTGATGCTGGGATGACTGTCCAGGGCAGGGACGAAGAGCGTTTTGGACATTTCTTCGCGCAGGACATTTGCCGAGATCCTCAGAGTCCGAAGATTTGACATGTTCTCAATTGCCTTCGTGACGTCCGTCAGAAGCATCTCAATGTGTTTGGTCCTGAGACATATGTTCCTCTTGTCGCTGTCACTGCAGCGGTACGAACATCTCTTGGAGAACAGCGTGAAGAGGTCCAGCTGTTCCAAGTTTACGTTGTTCTTGAAGGCTTCCGGGATGGCCTGGATGGCAGACTCGCTCATCCGATCTATCTGTGCAGAGATGGTCAGGGCTCTGATCATGCTCCTGGGGTCGCCGATTGCCTCGAAGAAGCTGTACATGCCCTCGTTGTTGCTGTCGTTACTCCGCGGGTTGGTGAGACTCACGTCCAGGCCCGTAGACGAGATAGCCAGACTGTCGATACACCGGGTCTTCATGATAGCCTGTCCCAACCGGGCTAGACCTTTCTGACGGTAGATCCACAAGTTATCCAGGACGAGAGATATTCTCTTCGAGTCATCCACCCTACCGTGGTCGTCTAAGCAGTTGATGTTCTCAACAATGTACGAGAGGCCAAGGAGAGTGTTTAACTTCGGATGTCGCCGGAAGAAGTTGAGAGAGATGACGCGACCTGATCCCATGTTCGCAGTCAGCGTTTCCGCCACGAAGAGACCGAACTGTCGAGGCTGCGTGCTTTCCACGACACACCGGCAAGCCAGGACCGTGTTTGTGTCGATGCAGCATTGTGAACAGTTGGCGTCTGCTGTCATCGCTTTGTGGCTGTCCGCGAAGGATTCGAACAGCGGGTTCGCATGTTCCCCTAGCAGACCTGCCACGAAGAGACACACTGTGTTGAACCTGTGCATGGAATGACAGCCTTTACTCCACATCATGTCGTACAGGTCTCTCCGGTTAGTCTTCACCACGTACTTGGCGGCGAAAAGCTCGCGGAGGAGTCTGTGTCCGAACGCGAACTTCTCAGCTTGGTGCCCTTTCTCTTTGATAAGAAACCCAAGCTTCACCATACTTTCCCTGATGTTCGTCACTTCGGTCTCCTTCAAGACGATCGGGCCCTTCTTGTTAAGGGTTTTCCAAGAAAGTTCGTACAGCTCATCGAGTTTGCACTGAAGGTCCTCCGGGATCTCTTCTTGCGGGTTGAGATGGAGATGTTTCTCGCAGTACTTGCGGAGGGAGATGTCGACGATCCCCTCAAAGAGCCCCGTCACCGTATCTCGCCGCGTCCTGTCTTTCTCTTTCCACAGTAGACAGAGAAGCATGAGGTACATGGGAGTCTTACACAGATCAACAAGACTTGAGTGGCCATACTGAAGACTTGAGTGGCCGTACTGAGTCAACAACTCTCTCATCCCCCGTGCTTCCTTGTCCTTCTTGAAGAATTTTCCCACGAACGTATCGACGTCTTCTTGATTGAATCCTTCCACGACGTAGTAGGCGTCGCACGACTTTAAGATTGGCACTTTAAGATTGTGTATGGCAGTGGTGGTGAGGACGACGTAGCTCTCCCGGAGATAGTTACCGAAGATGAGCCCTGCGACGAAATGGTCTCGGCTGAAACCGGGGGTCTCTTCCACCGCATCGATAATGAACATGACCTTCTCCTGGTTCTTCTGTACCCACTCTCTCAGCCGATCTTTCGCGATCACAAAGTCCCTCGGCAGGATGTTGTGCTGGTAAATTGCGTCAAACAAGTCCTCTGAAGCCTTGAGGTGACGAGCTTTCAGCGCGAACATCATCTTTATACCATTGAACTTCTGCCCGATTGACCAATGGCAGACGATGTTACGCAGTAGAGTCGTCTTCCCGATTCCCGACGGGCCCTCGAAGATGACTCGCTTGACGTTGTCCGCCATGATAACGGCGTCGTCTTCCGTCAGGAGCTCTTCCTTGGCGAGATCGGCAGGCGTGCACAGCTCCCGTGTGACCCGGTTCACCCTGACGGGGACGTGGTTGTCTTTTTGAGCCATCTCGACCCACGGACACCAGTTGAGAGGGGTGTAGTACGATTGTGTCCTCTTGTAGTACTTCTTCAGTGCTTGTTCACAGACGTCACCTACGTATGCGTCATCGTGCATTTGCTCTGTGAAACAAATCGTTTAAAACACTCTTTATTTTCACCAAATACTAAAGAACACTTGGTACGGACTTTTCATTATGATTTGAAATATTCATCATTACACTGCTTTAAGATAGGAACAAACTGAACGGTTTGGATATGAAGAAAAACGATTCTCACCAGATATGGTTCCTCTATCCATCGCCCTTTGGATTTTCTCTGCCACGTCAGTGATGCCCGCCTGCCTGCAAGCCTCCATCAGTACGGTAGGTGTCGCTCTTGAGCCGCCTCGCTGTTTCCACATTCTCAGCATCTGTTGCTTTTGCTCGGTGAGGTTTTGCGGTGCCCGGACGGATATTGTGTCAATGTCGCCCTCGCTGAGCCCCAGTTTACGAGCCAGTTTCTTGAAAGCCTCCATTCCGCCATTCTCGACCACAACGTCAATAGCTCTGTCCACTCCTTCGAACAATAAAGTTGTACATTCGGTGATATGTTTCAAAGCAGCTTTCTGCATCGTTTTTGAACTTAAAAATGGCACATTTCAGTCAATGATATAATAAAAAAGTTATTTATTAAAATTAGGAGCCCACGTCTTTTAAACTTTATAAGACAATTAGACAATTTTTTTAGCAATCATATCCTTGTTCTATTTTGACGATATATTGTTACTTCCCTTGTAGACAATTTTTTTCAACTCTGTGTCTTGAGTCATGATTTTAAGTTTGGAATTTTATGTTTTGCTGGCCCTGGCCAAAACATTTAAAAGATGCATTGTTTGTTCGCGATTATTATACGTTATGACATTTTGGACCGCTATTAAATGTATAATATTCTAAATTGCAACACTCCAACAGGTAGTTCCAGATGGACGATACCGATAAACAACAGTTACAGTCGCTACCAGGTGTAGGATGCCCCCCTCCCCACAAGAGCAGGTCTATGACTGTGTGTTTACTCTCGAAACTTCGACCTTCCGCTGCAATCCCGTGTCATTGACCCTAGGAGGCGCTACTGATCACACACAAAATCATTAACCTGTCTAACTACCCATACTTTACTAATGCTTTAGCTGTTATTTATCAAACATAACGTCTTTTAGATGACCCCCTGGGTCTATAGTCAAGGCCCTGTTAACGTCAACACAACTCCGCGGATTTATACGTGACTCAGTGTTTGAGTACAATGGCGACCATGTTGTCAACAGGCCCTGGCAAACAGACGCCACAAAAAAGTATAAAAGTCACCGTACATAAAATGCCCTGTATGAGCGCCCGGTCGTATTCGTCGTACGAACGTCGTGTGTGCGACCACAATCTCGGGATAGTTGTGCATATGTTGTACAATCTTCAGCTGTCTTGTTACGTTAAAAAGTCCTAAAAGACCTAAGCTAGTCTTGAGCTAGCTTAGGTGGTTGTAGGTGGTTGTTTCTGTCACAGCTTTTTTAAAATACTACATCAAAATCGTAGGACGACCCACGACAAATGTGACCGCGCCGTATAAGGCACTAGACCCCCTAGACCTTCTCTGAGGGAATGATTACGAACGACTACTGCTAGCTTGTAAAATAAACATGTATTTTTGAATATTTGACAAAACTTACTCGACTGGTTCCGTGCCATGTTTAAAGTGTCCCAATAGGCCGACGTTTACGTCAAGTGTCGTGGTTGGCAGCTGAATGTCTACCTTTACGTCCGTTACAGGAAGACTACCAGTCTACCGACATGGTTTGCTTCCAAAGTACGTTATTAGGTGTGACAACAAGGAGCAAGGCTTTCTTGGAACAACCAGGTTCAACCCGGAAGTACTGTCACCTGACGCTGACCTTAGAGAACGAAGTTAGGTGTGTCTACCGAAACGCTGTCAGTGGAGTAGTGTTTCGGGGATCAGAGTGATTATCACCTACGGAGACTTGATTTGAGGTCGCGTACATGATCCAGAGAAGTGAAGAGATATTAGAATCAAAACTGTATTTGAAAAAGATCGATTAAAAGCAGAAGACTCACTATATACACACAGCGCATTGGACCCCACCCTTCCATTTTACATAGACGGCTCATGTTTTAAAACAACAACACACAACACACCTGTTACGTTTTATGCAAGTCATCAGGCGAACATGTGAACGTCACCATGGCAATAGATAGACCATGAGACCTTGACCGAACTTTCGCAAACCGTCCCTGTTCTTTGCCATTGGATTTTGTCTTGTTTTAAACCAATGAATATGGGATACAAAGACTTACTAGCGAACATCAATGGAAGTTTGTCTTTTTTGTCTGTTGAAAATGATTCAGTCTAGTATCTTGCGGGAGTAAGTTTTGCATATTTTCCTTCTTTTTGGGCATACGTTAAAGTTGTGATAGCAGGGCATCGAAGAGTAACGCTAGTGCGTGCCTACAAGCGTGTATTTGACGCGTACGCAAGCATGACAGCCTTTAGATCTACCATTGACATTGGAGACGTGCCTGGGTCTGCTTACGTCACACATGAATGCATCGGGCCGCCGATACAAGGCGTACACCACGCACAAAAGAACTAAAAACAAAACACTCAGGTGTCCACGACTCTAATTATAAAACATGACGCTTGGGTCTTTCCAAGTGTTACGCGCCCATGGACATCATGTGAAGTGGTCGCTTCTATACTCCTAGACTTTCAGCGGAATAAGTTTTGCCTACAAGAAGAGCCCAAGAAAATCCAAGACACCAAGACGACATATTTTCGGAAACAGGTTGACAAAATGGCGTGCAGCAGACCAAGTGAGTCACTAGTACGACGTTCTGTTATAAAATATTGTGCAGTCATTAACGAAGTAAATACTACAATGGTAGGGTTGCAAAGATCATGTTGTTGAATTTTGGATGTTGTGTATGTGTCTTTGAGGCACTGATTCCCTTACAGTTACACAAGCTATCAACAACGTACTGGTATTTGTCACCTGACACCGTCCCATGTAAGAACAACGCAAGCATTCAAATAGCACTGAATGTTTTATCTGATGGCAATTTGACGTCTGTACTGTGTGTGTACCTTTGTACCTGTGTGTATGTATGAAGACATGTGGCGATCACGGTAGTTTTAATTTTTTTTCGTGGTTTATCAACCGCAACTATAGCACACCACTGGTATGACGCTACCACAACAAGCTTAAGGAAGTAATTTGTTTAACCCATACATGTTTTCCTCCAACGTTTAGGCTAAAATCTTACCCCTCCACACTTTACCTGTGAACAATTTTGCTAACAGTGACATGTAATAACGTATTGATTGACCTGACAGAGCCTTTTTCATGACGGCTACCAAAAGCTAAGTGTGGTAAAGTGTTTGTGTATATGCCGTTGTGGGGTAAGGGGTGGGGAGGGTGAGAGTACTCTGTCAACAGAGATCAGTTTTCCTTTGTGTGTATCCACTCATGTAACTGAATTTGTATTGCGTGTCGTATTTTGCAGAGCGGGATGTATTGTCGAAGGCTTTTGAAGTGGTGGTAGACGGAGTTCTCACAAGCAAGGTGCCCTCACTGGGGAGAGAACTGGGTTTCTCGGACGTCGACATGGACGCGATCAAATATGAACATCCAAACGACATAATGGAACAAAAAAGGAAGATGCTGAGTAAGTGGAAAGAAAGACAAGGAACGCAAGCGACCCCTGGCGAACTGATGGAGGCCTGCAGGAGGGCCAAGCTGCAAGACGTGGCAGACAAAATCCAGAAGCTGATCCGTGAGTTCTATATTTTGCCTCATATTCTAGAGCTTAGTGTTTGCTATCATTTGTACCTAGTGTACGTATAAATTTCAAACAAGGACTTGGGTTTTGATAAAATGAAGTGCTCTTAGTTTGGTGAGGCCACGCTGATTTAATTTTATTATGGATGACACTGGCCGCGCGCGCATTGATTTTCTCCTGTTCTCAATTTCAAAAGTAAGAAATAAGTAATAAAAATGTCACCGATCCTCCGAGGCTCTGACCTGCGGGTGCCGTCCTCCGTAGCCCATGGTAGCTAGCGAAAATGGGGAGCCGACCGTAACTACGGATGATGGCACCCAGGCTGCCGACGCTCCACGGAACTCAAGACTGACTTAGTACATTACCGAATCATAAATGCCGCAAAAGGCAAGCATGTGCCGGCTAGTCGTAAAAGTTGCTACCACAAATTCACAATTAAGCAGCTTTGTATTCCCGTGGTTTAGCAGCATTTTTTTCTGGCCCGATGTTTTTTTGTTCACCCGCACCCACTAGTTTGGGGGTCTTCAAACGATGTCATCCATAGAATTAAGTCAGTGTGGTCTAATATAAATATTCAAACACAGGTGAAGATGTGGTGAATCAGTGTGAAGATGAACTGAAGGAGTACTATCGCAGGAACATGTCCTTCTACACACCACTGAACTGGGCGCCATGGATGGAGCTCGACATCCAAAACCACCACGTGAAAGCTCGGTTCAAGCGAGTCCATCGTCACGAGGGGAGCACCAAACACATCGTGAAGTCAGAATACCTGACAGAAGACGAGCTTCTGATGGAGGGAGACTCGAGCTCCAGCAGGCAGAACGTCGGTCGTGTTATCATCGAAGGGCCACCCGGCATTGGCAAGACAACCTTCCTGAATGGGCTGGTCTGTGCATGGGTGAGTGGGAAAAGGTTTACCCACCAGAAGCTGGTCTTCGCGCTCAAAGGTCGCCATCTACTCAAGAGTGGAGGTCTTTTAGAAGCCATCCTTGCACAGAGCCTGTTTCCGGAAGATCATCCCGTCCAGAGGAATCCCGATCTCAGGGCGCACTTGTGGCAGTGGGTGGAGGTTAACCAAGACAGGGTCATGTTCATCATCGACGGCATTGCTGAAATACCAGGGTTCAGAAAGACCTACTCCAGCACAGAGCCGGAACACTTCGTCACCAAGCTGATCGAGGGTAAAATCCTGCGGCACAGCAACGTCTTGCTGACAACGACGTCCATCCAAATGCTTGACGTCTCGGTCCTGAGATGGTGCGATGCCTACTACACCATGGAAGGATTCTTCAACGACGACATCAACAGATTCGTAGATACATTCAACTTCAAGACACGTAAAGCAAAGGCGGATATCAAAGACCTGCTCGGATCCAACACCAGCTTTCTGGAGCTGTGCAGGATCCCCATGTTCCTTTGGTTTCTCTGTCTCATCTGGGACGACAACGAGCACAAGAGCAAGGCAAGAACGGTTACGTCGCTGTTGGAGGAAATCGTCAGCTTGGCCCTGAGGAAGGCCCTGAAAGGAAAGGAAGAGCTATCAGATGAAGAACAAGAAAAGGTGGAGGAACTGTGCAGGCTCTCCTGGGAAAGAACCGTGAGTGGAGATGTCTGCTTGATGAGCGAGGATATAAAAAACATCAAAGATCTCATGCTCAAGAGCGGCTTCTTGGTCAAGGAGAAGAGTCACCGGGTGGAGTACACATTCGGGCACACCCTGTACAGGCAACTCTTCGCCGCAAAGCACGTCGTCAAGTTTCCCGACCAGACAGACCTGTACGAGAGGCTGTGGGAACCAAGTTGCCCGTCCAACTCCAGGTACAACCTGGTGTGCCTCTTCGTTGCTGGGCTCCTTGGAGCAAACGCCGGGCCGCTGTTTGAAGCATTTGCACGGCGATACAGTAACATGCTGAAAGACGAGGAGTGTTGCCAGTGCTGCATCGACGAAGCTGTTACGCTGGCCTGTCGATGCATCGTTGAATCCCGAAACTCTAGGAGTTTTGGAAAGGCTGTGGCAACTACAATGCTCGAGCACATGGGATCAGAGAGAGAGCTGTCAATCAACTTCTACCGCAAGCAGCTAAAGCTGAACACGTTACTGGGACTGTCATACGTCATCGAGAATATCAACTGTATGGATTCATTTGGTCGAATCAACGAGTCACAGAGGCTGTCACTCATCTTGGACAACCTGTGGATCCGCAACAAGAGAGGGCTGCTACGCCTGGGGGAGGCTATCATGAAGACCCAGTGTGTCCACTCACTTGCCATTTCCGTCACGGGCCTGGATGCGAGTCTACTGCATCCCCAAGGTAATGACGCGGAAAACGACGACATGCGCAAGTTCATGCAGACCATAGGAAGCACACAGAGTAACGTCGCGAAGTTGTCGCTCACAGCCCAAATTGACAGAATGAGTGAGTCTGCCATACGCCAGGTGCCGAAGGCTTTCAGAAACAACGAAGAGCTGAAGGAGCTGGACCTGTTTGTCAGTTTGTTCTCCAAACGCTGCAGCCCAATGTGCCTGAGGATTGAGAAGGAGAGTCAGCAACCGTGTACAAAGAAAGAGCGTATACAGGTATTTCTCACCGATGCGGCTGAAGCCATAGACAACATGAAGTGGTTGGAATCTCTCAAAATCACGGCCAGCATTCTCAGAGAGGACGCGTCCCGGGAAACCATCGTCCCTGTCCTTCAGAGACACGAGGGCATCACGTCACTCAGCGTGGTCGGACAGGTCAAGGGGCGAGGCCATCTGACGCTGTACGGCATCCAGTCCCTGGCGATGATCCTCGAACAGAACAGGAAGCTCAAAAGCGTGAGCGTCAGACTCACCACTGTGTCTGACGACGTCAAGCAGAGGGAGAAAGAGACGGGAAAGTCCGAGAGACCCATGTGACACACGAGCAAAGGCGCTTTACAGTGGCCTCGTCAAATCCACCGTCACATCCATAGACTTGCTCTTCAACTGTGTGCTTCCGAGAGAAGCACGGCTGTTTGCCGACATTGTCATCAACAACCCTCACCTCACAGACGTCACCTTCTCTTGGCACACAATGTTTCCATCTTTCCTGGAAAGATTGGCAGACGCTGTGGAGAAGAGCGGCACGCTAAAAAGGCTCGCCTTGTGTGGAAAATTCGGAGACGGCGACTCCCTAGTCAAGTTGATCCGGGCGGCGCTGCCAGCCAACCCGCCGTCGTCACCACAAGCTGCCGGTGGCATATCGTCACTGTTCCTACAAGGCCAACCATTCCTTGACACAACAATCGACGCTTTGGTGTCGTGTGTCAAGACCGAAACCAGTCTGGACCGGCCTATGCTGCTACATCTCGGCGGAGAGTTGTTTGGTCCACAGGCGGCAGCTGCATCAAAGAATCTGGACGCTCTACGGTTGGACAAGGAAGCATCAGACGACAACTTCATCATATACCACGGTCTGTCAGTGGTAACCGTGGACGAAGAGAAGCCCAACGTCTTCCACTTCGAGACAACAGTGGCCATGGAGTTCAAAAGGGCATTGCGAAAGCGGTCAGAACAAATTGTCAACCGTAAAAAGTCAAGGCAAGAAGAGACAGAATCGTGAACAGCATCGAAAACAAGTTACATGGAAAAAGGTTATATAGGGCCTTGCATGGACCAAAATCTTAGTGCAGTAGCGCCACCTGGCAGGCTGATGAAGAACTGCAGCTACAGAATCAGAATCTGTAAATAGATGTCCATATCTTCTGTTGTTTGGGTTTTACACATTTAAGTGATACATACTGTACATTTCCACTTATAAATGCAATCTTTTATAAAAAAAAGATACTCCTGCTAAAACAAAAATTGCATAAAAGATGGCAAGTCTGAATGGTTGTGTGCAATGTATGTTAATGCATTGTAGTATATTCTAGAATGTGTGGTTTTGAACTTTTCTTGACGGAATTGCCACTCCAAGTGACTAAATAAGCTTCCTCTTTTGATCTAAAGAAAAAGGAAAACTAACAGTACAAGTCCTGCAGTCTGCTTCTTTGAATCAAGGGTTTTATTAAGTACTGCCGTCTTGGCCACAGTTTCTTACCCTTTCAGCATTATTATCTGTTTTAAGGTATAGTTACACTTCTGTTAGTATCCCAGAATCCACTTTCAGCAACAAGCAACAAATACTCTCATCAACCTGAACATTTTTACACCAATTAGTTACATCTTTAAGTTGCGACAATGATAATTAAGCAGCCATTTTCCTGTACAGTACTTATAAGAAAGTGGAGCTACGAACAGTGAACTACATGTAAAAAAGCAATTATAAGTTGTCAAACAGATAGTACTTAGTATGTTTAGCCTGCTATGCGTTAGGCCATGTTGATTTGATTATATGGATGATATCCGTGCGCGCATGAATTTTCGGCCGTTTCCAAAAAAAAAAAGTTTTCAACCATACTGTAACTCGTGCAAAACAGTTCCAAAATGAGCAAAAATATACCATAAGTTACAAAAAAAATTAATAAAAACTATACCAATGCAGTAGAATGCCAAAATCAAACAAATAAAAGACGAAATTGTAAAGAAATGAACTTGAAGACTAGATTATTCGCCAAACCATATTCTGTGCCATTTGCTCAACCCTCATGACCACATAGATTTCATAATGAAAAGAACCTTTTTTTTGTCAAAACTTTTTTTTATTCGCACGCGCGCATCAGTTTTGGGGCTCCCGGAGGATGTCATCCATATAATCAAATCAACATGGCCTTATCCATAGAACTTGTGGACTTTCTAGCAAAAATTAAAAATAGTCCTCTGTAAATAATACTCCTTATTGATTTGTTGTAAAAACACTACCAGTGGACACATGCACCAGTATTTCTTTTGGTATGACAAGGCCACACCAATTTAATTCCTTGGTTAACAGATTTTTCTAGAAAAATAATGGAGCGGGCGGGCGAAAAAAAAATAAAAACAGGCCTAAGCATCCTGTTATGGCCCAAAATGGTAGATAGGAGCCATGAAGTCAACACACCAGGCTGGTTCAAAATTTAAACAATGAATTTTGAACTTTTAATGATACCATTGCATTGAAAGATGGAATAACTGTAACAACTAGGATGAAAAGGACTGTTTTCAACTGTTCAAGGCAAAATATGAGCATTTTGCAGTTGATTCTGAATTTTTATTTTTATTTCCAAATCAGAAAAAAATGAAGCGGGCGAATCCGTTAACCAAGAAATTAAATTGGTGTGGCCCAAGTATCAAGGATCATTTTCCCTTGAAAAGTTAGATATTTCTGTTTTTCCTTCAACATAATTTGAATCCTAGACCCATATATTTGTATTGATTGAAGCTTCTTGTCTGCACTGGTTAAGAGTTCCAATGTGTAAATATTTCAATCAACGTGGAACTTTGCAGTGGTGGTCAAAATGTGACATTGTGAATTTGTAAAATCACAACTTTATAGTGAAGTTATCTTCTATCATCATGTTAAGTTACTAAAATGAAATATAATATTCTATTTTTGCACAGAATGAAATGTAGTGATTTCTACAAATTAGTGTGTACTGATGATTTTGTCACCTCTTTTCTTTGTAATAAACAAGGTATGATGTTTAGAAAGATCAGCTCCTTGCAAAAATAACCTGCACATGGCTTTTTCTTCCAGCATTTTCTTCAGTGCAGAAGTGCACGTTGTCAGGGAGTGATCAAAAAGATTTGAGTACATCGGTCACTTCAAATATTGAATGTCACAAATAAATGCTTTCCTAGATTTACAGAAAAAAAGGCTCCACCCCTTAGGCATTGTCAAAAACATTTAACTAGTATAGACTCAATCTCTCAAAACGTATTAAGTTGAAATGTGGGCTGCTTTTAAAATGTTTCCCTTGAATTTGAAAACATGACTGTCAATACTTAAAGTGACAAATGTTTTAATTTCTTCAAGATAATTTCAGTCATGAAGGCTAAACAAACTACTTGTAAACAACTCAGTGTTCATAGTCGTAAGAAACTTGATTCATCTGAACTACTAAATAAACATAACATTTGCACATCTCTAACAAACAGTCATCCACGGTTGAATTATAGTAACAAACAAGAGAAAAAAATACTTATTTCACCTACTCCAGGATTCAATAACCTGGGTATGTTGGTAGTTAGTTCTTTTCTTTGCCCTTGATAGAATTAAGTACAAACCTTGCAACCGTGGTACTTTTTAACACTGTACTTACATTACATATTCCACACACACTGCCAAAAGGGTTTGAACAGAAACTGTTTTACCAGACTTTTTATCATATACAGTATAGAGCTTTTACAACACAAGTCAAACTGTAGACCCTTTAAATGGGTAATCCTTTTTCTGTACATCTATATTTGTGGACCAGGATTTTGGGTGCGTTTAAGGAGGATGCGTGTGAAAATATTAGTGCAATTTTTGTATTCATCAGCACATGCAGTTCTTTTTTCTGTCATTGTTTCTTGGTTTAAGTCACACATTCTTGTGCTGAACTTTTATTACTAAGTTTTCATACACGTCTACATGTACCTCCCCACATCCTTCCACCCTTCTTTTCATTACAATTTGAAAACAAAGCTTGTATCTGCCTGTGGCAGCATTTCTTTGTCAACCACCTTAAACAATGGATCAGTCCAACATCTCATGCTGTGGCACAAAGTTCAGATTACTACATTGTAGAAAAGGGGGGTTTCAGAAGTACATGGTTACAATTTCATATATTACAGCACTTCCCTTATTTGTGCTTATGCAGGTGTGCAGATACACCTAAGACGAAACATTAACACCTACAGCTACACTCACTAACACCTACAACAACTGGCTTATACACTGGCAACAAACTATCAACTAGGTTTTTTAAGGCATCTGCATACATTATATACACAGTATACACACACATGCTCATACACATATATATATATAATATATCCTTTGACAACTCTGGAACCCTGAAGAGAATTTGGCCTGAAAGAATGTGTAACAATTATAGCTTGTGATGTATTGTTGTTGTTTTTCTCATATTTTTCGATGCAACATGATATAATATTCATAATAATTTTTACCAGTCAACATCCACAGCCACTTCACAATAACAAACCAGCACCAAACTTTGATTGTCCAGTTTCACTGATATACAAATAGCGGGGGACATCAAGCCATGATTCTGTCGGTTGAATTGTTTGAACGATCTCGAAGCATTTCCTTGTAGCATTGGTCATTTCTTCCTCCGGTGAGTTGCAATCAAATTTACAGCATTTGCGTGATTAAAAATAGTACAGTTGAAGTTGAACTGGAGTTCTTGTCCACTCCTGTTTGTGCTGGGTGATTTTAGAAGGACTGTAGCAGGGAATCGAGTCTTCTCTTCCTTTGTAAATGTTTTGGTTGTCAGAGGTAGATGCGCCGTAAGTCTGCTGCTGCTGTGATCATGTTACACTGGGGACACAGTTTCTTTGCACCCTAAGAAGAAAAGAAAAGACTGTTATAGTTAGTGATGCATACCTAAACCCAATTCTAGGTTCAGGTCCGGATTCAAGTCTAGAGGTTTAGATTCAGTTCCGGACTTGTAAGTCCGGACCTAAACCCATGGCATATACAAAATTGCATGTTGGCAACCTTGCAATGTTGTCTGGGTGAAACTTTGGCCACATAACATGGAGGCCGGTACTTGATGATGCCCGATGGCAATGTTTTCTTCATTTTGCAGCAAAGATTTTGCAATCTACGGAGGGTTTTAGGTGGTTTGGAAAGAAAAGGGGTATGTGAAATGGTCTTTTATGGTAATAAGTCCGGACTCGGTTCTTGACTTCTAGGTTTTTTTGGACTTGAACCTAAACATTCTTACAAGTCCGGATCCAAGTCCAGTGAACCGGTATGCACCACTAGTTATAGTGGTAGGTGTAGTTTGAAAATGCTAAATTCAGTGGTGGGGAGGGGGGAAATTTTTCCATGTGGAAGTGTTCTTCCCTTGGTTCTTTCCAGTTGAATTTTCTGTCAGAACATTTTCCAATGGCCAAACTACAAACAGATTGTCATTTGTAAAAAATACAGGATAATTTTCTTTCCAAAAAGACAATGGCATTTACCATCTTTTCCTGTGTCATATACCATATACATGTAAGTAGCACGTCGGCAGAACGTAGTGCACCTGCGCGAAACCCGTAATGTATTGTACATAGTATTTCGGCAGAATGTCTCATATAAGGTTGTATTCGCTCATATAAGGTTAGCATATCGACAGTAGTTTCCAAATGTTATGTAGGAAAGAATATCCTCTGCAACAGGCAATATTCTGATGCAACGTTGACCAAAAATCCAACGAAAAACGTGAAAATACGGGGTTCTGCGCAGGCGCAGTACGTTCTGCCGACGTGCTCATGCAAGTACTTATCAAATGTGCTGACAGCGACTTAAGAAAGAGTTGTTCTTTTGTAGTTAGAACTCTATAAATTTGCAGCTGTCTTACCAGAGTTCTTAGCCAGCACTCTTCGCAGTGTACATGCCAGCAGTTGATGGACACTAGAGGAATAGTGTAGGGCTCCTGGGGTGGTGGGTACACAGACAAGAAATATCAATAAACAATAGAAAACCTTTTGAGTATTGGCATCTAACATCTGTGTCCATAATATCACCAGGGTCCATAATATCGCCACCTTGAGAAACAGCGTGCTTAAAGATATTTTTACTGCAACATACTTTTGGTATGCACTCCTTCACACATCAAATGTACATACCTAGGGTATGTTGCAGTAAAAATATCTTTAAGCACACCATTTCTCAAGGTGGCGATAGTATGGACCCTGGTGATATTATGGACACAGATGTTACATCTACATATAAAAATGCATGGCCTGAAACATATAATTGTAAATATGGCAAATTGTAGACACTTTTTCTATTTACACATTAACACATTCTATCAACACATGCCCAAAACCCATACTACATTGTTGTACATTTAATATGTCCAGGCAAAATCAGTTAACAGTAATACATTGTAGCAAATAACAACGAGTACCCCTGAATTTTCCACAAAGTGGACTCTCCCACAACCAGGCAAAGTCAATACTAGTACTCAGTTACAAGACTTGGTCAGAACCATTTGTCCAGAGGGGTGTTTTGCAGGACTCACCATGCAAATGAGACACTTGATGCGGTCCTTCTTGCTGAGGAGTTGCTCCTGTTCCCGGATCTTGGCCTTCAGTGCCTCCACCACCTTATCACTGACCGGGCCGCGGCTGGTCGACGCTACAGGCTCCCTAAAGGGTCAACAGAGAATCAAGAAGAATTTTAAGTCTCCTCTTGGAGTCTATGTCAAGTCTGTCAATGAATATGCAAGGACAAATGTTTCAAAAGTTGTGTAAAGGTTGGAGGCCCGAGACATCAACAAAAATGTCTGACCAATGATTTACATACTGTACATCCTGATGTCTTTTGTCCATGTCTCAGGGGCTTTAATTTTGACATGTACATGTATGCACAGTTTGGGTCATGAAACCATTTATGTTTTAATCAATAGATGGATAGATGAAAGAAAGAATGAATGAATGTATGTAAAAATGAAAAAAAATGGATGGATGGATGAATGAATGAATGGAAAAATAGATGAATGAACAGTACAGGCGGAAATCCAGTTATGAGTACATAGATGTACATATATTACAGGAAAGCATGTACATGTATTCCCCACCTAGATTTGGTGCCCCCTGTGTCTGTAGTGGTATCTCCTACAGAGTCTGTTGTTGGGCCATTAGTTGAGGTTGGATCACCTAAAAAAACAAAGCAGAAAAGTTTAAACTTTCAATTGTGTATACTAAAGAATACATATTAGTGAAGGCAGCACATACAATAGCAATGAAATATGATCCAGTATGGTGTAACCAAAGTTCTTTTGTCACCTAGATGCTACCATCTCATTAATATTCATGATTACCTGCTCATTAGCATAATTTATACAACTTCACATTTAAGGGTAAAATCAAAAGATACATAATTATTGGTGACATATTTTTGGTGCTAAACAATATATTGTATCTTCAACTCATTTTCAAATTGTGTTTTGGCATGTATTTCAATTTCAAAACCTTATTATGGGGACATCAAATACAAAACAACCCACAGGCAAAAGAAATCTTTCTGTCATAGGAACTCTGTTGGGGGACCCTCAAAGGGCTTTGTGATACGATATAGTTCTTTTCAATTTCTCCAGCCGGGGGAGAGGCGGGTTGCCTCCCCCCACCCCTCACAAACTAAGGAAGTGAACATACATTTACTGGTGCTACAGTCAAACCTGTGCAGCACGTCGGCAGAACGTACTGCGCCTGCGCAGAACCCCATATTTTCGCGTTTTCCTTGGGTTTTTGGTCAACATTGCATCAGAATTTTTCCTGTTGCAGAGGATATTCTTTCCGACACAACATTTGGAAACTACTGTCGAAATGCTAACTTTATATGAGCAAATACAACCTTATATGAGACGTTCTGCCGAAATGCTATGTACAATACATTACGGGTTTCGCGCAGGTGCAGTACGTTCTGCCGACGTGCTAACCTGTGCTAGGGTCACCTCTGTTTAGTGGTCACCTGGCCATTACAGTCAAATTTGCTCAGACCCTTGAGTGACCACTATAGTATGTAGACTTACCGGTAGTACTTGTACATACAAAATCACAGACAGGTTTGACTGTATTTCTCCATTGATCATATTTCATTCTATGATTTCTTTGAAAAAAAAAAACCTTTTCACCTGCAACCAAATCAAGTTAACCAAATCAAATAGACGCACATACAGGATAGGTAAGTGCAAGTTTGAAGACAGTTTGATTCGTTTAAACAAGGAAATCGTCACCTTCTTCATTAGCCCATCTGGATCTGTCTCCTGGCTGGGAGGCATCGTCGGTATTCTCTCTTCTGAAAACGTGAAAAAAAATTAAAAAGATCAACACTGATCAAAAATAAGAAATCTGAAACTGGCAATTTTTTCCCTCATTGGTAACAAGGAGGGAGGGTTACAGTTATATGAATAGGACTGCAACAGCATCTCTACCTAAGGCCATGTTGATTTGATTATATGGATGACATCCTCTGGGACCCCAAAACTGATGCACGCGTGTGAAAAAAAAAAAAGTTTTGCAAAAAAAAAAGTTGCTTTCACTATGAAATCTACGTGGTCATGATGGTTGAACAAATGGCACAGAATATGTTATGGCGAATAATCTACTCTTCGAATTCATTTCTTTACATTTTTGTCTTTTTTCCTTTGATTTTGGCATTCTACGACATTGGTATCATTTCTAAATGTTTTCCTTGCAACTTACGGTATATTTTTGCTCATTTAGCAACTCTTTTGCACGATTTACAGTATGGTTGAAAACTTTTTTTTCTTTTGGAAACGGCCGAAAATTCATGCGCACGCGGATGTCATCCATATAATCAAATCAACATGGCCTAAGTCAAAAACATAGTTATAGGGAATCATTTATATAGTCTTTTATGGGCCTCCCAAACAGATTTCTTACCCTAGCACTGCTTCTCTGAGAGCTTCTCTCTCCTTGTTCTCTGCAGGTTCATCGGAGGTGCAGGGAATGATGTCTCTCTCACGATATCTGAACGTTTGGGTCAAGGTGCATTTTCTTAGACCAAGATATTTTAAATTGTGAAATATTCATTGCTGTTTGTGGATCTTGTAATCGTCATTAAGTTATCACTCTGTGAAGAAGTGCTGTCCTTCACTACATTTCTTCAGTTGTTTCAACTATGAGTTTAAGACACAGCCAACACCACAGTCTATTCCCTCCTATTGCAAAAAAATTGAGTCTCCATTAAATAAATTTACAGTACAATCGATTGAAATGAAGGCATGATTAAATCTGGAAATATTTTTTATTATGTGTTGCAAATTCCAGCACTTAAAGTTCTAATAAACTCCCTCCTAGACCCCCCATCCTGTGTGGAATACTGTAATTCCTGATATTTTCATGGTACTTTTGTGTTCACGGTTTTCGTGGTCACTTCTGTACCGTGAACTTATCATTACTGTGAACAAATAATTCACTTTCTGTTTTCTTCACCTGCTGCCAACGTGAACATATAGTTCTGTGGACACCTTCATTTTTCTCAGACTGCGAACTTTTGCTACCGTAAACATAAAGTGAAATGCAGTATATGTTTCACAAAAGGATACTGGGGTTTCCCATACTCCTCTGCATCATCCCCATCCACATTCAGGTCCTGATCACTGTCATTCTCCTTCTTACTCCGCACCACCTGGAACCCTTGGGCTAAAGCAAAACATTCAAACAACGAAATTAGTACCACCAGAATGTCATTTTATGAATCGCAATGCCTTAGGCCATGTTGATTTGATTATATGGATGACATCCGCGCGCGCATGAATTTTGGCCGTTTAAAAAAAGTTTTCAACCATACTGTAAATGGTACAAAACAGTTACAAAATAAGCAAATATATACTGTAAGTTGCAAAAAGAAATATTGACAAACGATACCAATGTCGTAGAATGCCAAACATGTAAAGAAATGAATTTGAAGAGCAGATTATTCACCATACCATACTCTGTGTCATTTCTTCAACCTTCATGACCATGTAGATTTCATAATGAAAGCAAATTTTTTTGCCTAACTTTTTTTTTATTTCGCACGCTCGCATCAGTTTTGGGGTTCCCAGAGGATGTCATCCATATAATCAAATCAACATGGCCTTAGACAAAGTTTCTGACCATTTAAAGAATACAAGCAAAAATCAGGAATGCTTGCATGAAAGTTCATCTGAGTTGGTAAAATACATGAAGAATAATCCGACAAATTCCGACAAACTTTGGCCCAGTGCTGATGTCACATGTGCCTAAAAGGCATGTGTCCACAACACTTGGGTCATAAAGCTAATGAAGACAGCAGTACAGAGCGATTCAGTCGAAAATTTCTGATGAGTTAATTTCGTTTTTGAGTTGGAGAACAGTTGAATTTTCTTCATCAGGAATTCTTATTCTATTCTAAAAATGTTTGACACAAGTAATTCTGTAAATCTACAATATAATGATGTAACCATACCTTCAAACTGGCCCTGAAGCATGGAGGTTGCACGGACACGAGTCTGCCCCGCCCAGGTGTACTCCTCAAACTCCTCAATCTCCCCTTCCACATCTACAGGCTCTGTCTCACTGTCTCTTTGGCTCTATGGAGAGGAAAAGGCACGATTGCAGTGTATTTGAGAAACTTGTCAAATGCTAATAACAGATCAAAATGCATAGATTCAAGAATCTTTTTAAAACAGATATAAGTATCCTAGAATTTCGTAAAAGGTTTGGCTTATTGTTGCCATCAGAATCAAGTACTGGTAGCTAAACTTTTATGTCAACAAGAGTTAGACATCCAGGTAATGAGATACACAAGGAAATTGCTGCGCAAGGAACTGGATAAATTTTCAAAAACAATCAAGTTGCTTGAGTAACAATTTCTCGTGTATGTATGTACAATCAAAGTCGTGTACCTTTCAACATGGAATTTTCAAAAGAGCTCTGCTCCAGAGATGTTACCAAGAAATATCCTATCTACACCAGGCTACCTTTTTCACCACCCTGCCACCCCAGAAATACTAGTACTAGTATTCCATCTACACCGGGCTACCTTTTTCACCACCCTGCCATCCCAGAAATATTCCATCTACACCAGGCTACCTTTTTCACCACCCTGCTACACCAGAAATATTCCCTCTACATGTACACCAGGCTACCTTTTTCACCACCCTGCCACCCCAGAAATATTCCCTCTACACCAGGCTACCTTTTTCACCACCCTGCTACACCAGAAATATTCCCTCTACACCAGGCTACCTTTTTCACCACCCTGCCACCCCAGAAATACTAGTATTCCATCTACACCAGGCTACCTTTTTCACCACCCTGCCACCCCAGAAATACTAGTATTCCATCTACACCAGGCTACCTTTTTCACCACCCTGCCACCCCAGAAATATTCTCTCTACACCAGGCTACCTTTTTCAGACAGGCCTCCACGTGTCCGTTCATCTCCTCAGGAGTTCCCCCCAGCTTCACGCTGCAGATGGGGCATGATGGGAGCTCGTCGGAGCTGGTGGCTTCCTCCAGGTTACGCTTCTTCTTGGCGGCCTTCCCTAGCCGGGCTGCGGAGGCAGAGACTGGCATGGATATCAAGCTAACATAACGCTGCAGGAAAGCCTTGAACAATGCTTACTCCAACATAGTACAATGTATATGCTGAAAACTGCTTTATTTACCATTATTTATGAGCTAATTATAAATACAGTGTATCGAAAATCTAAGTTGTATCCATTACAGCCAAACCTATCTGAAAAGATCACTCAAGAGTCAAGACTGATATACATGTTAACTTATGTGGTCTACGTGGACAGGTGGTCACCATAGAGAGGATTCTTAAGACTTGTGTCAATGGGGAAAATATCAAAGGGATGAAATCCTTTTCTTCCCTGCCACTTCAGTTGTTTCCATTCTGACTAAAGCTGTAGTACCTTTCTCTTGTAGTTCTTGACGTTGGAGGGGGACAAGACAAGGCTTTGATACTCTGCCTAAAGGCAAAAATTAAAAAATTGAGAATATTTCTCACCATTCAATCTTTGTTGTCTGTTCATCTTCACTCTCTGGAAATTCTGCAAGGAAACAAAGTCCAGTTAGTTCTTAGGCCAGGGAAAGTTAGGAGGCTTAACCAGCAACATAATATATAGCAACGGAAATATGCTTATGATAATAGCTGGAAAAAGGGGTGCAGACACTCAAGTGAAATGATATTTGAAAATCTTAAAAAAAAAAACATAAGCCAAGAAAGATGCATACTATTGACACCCTACACACCCAATGACTTTATGTACATATAAGTCTTGGTGAAAATGGTTGGCTTATTAGTCAAATTTGTGAGGATTTGGGGGACATGAGCCAGGAGATGAACTTGAAAAAGATGTGAATGACTGTTGTAGGCCAGCACTTTGCAACCAAGAAATCAAAGACCTCATGTGAAATATCTAGTGTTTTTGTAAATTTCACCTCTCACTGATTTTGTCTAATAGATGCATTTTTGCATTGGGTCCCATAGGGCAACACTCATGTATATACCGGTAGCAGGATATTGAAGACAGGAAATGAGATAACCTTTTTTTTGGACCTTTGACCTAACTTCATTTCAGTGTCCCTGACATGATAACTACAGAAGTACAAGCCAACACATAAACAGACACACTGAAAACAACACCTCCATACAGGGAGGTAATGAGTGAGAGGACTAGGAGCGGAAAACTGAGATGGTTGTACCTTGAATGCAGCACTTCTTCTGCCTTCCTGGGGTATACCTACCTCATAACGACACATGGTAGGGTTGTCGGGAGGGGGAGAGGTCTTGACGCGACTACCCGAGGGTGTTGGCGGTGAGGGGAAGGTCGAGGTGGAGGGACTGGGAATGCTCTGTGGGCAGAGACACATGAGGCATACGGTGAATGGCGTGGCGCTGTGAGTTTAACTTATGTAGCAATATGTTTTAGAACAGAAAGTTGTCATAACCACCACATCTTTACTTTCCGTAAATAATTTCATCAGGTTGGAAGATACTTAGGGTATAGAATTTAGGGTATGGCATTCTCGCCGCAAAAGCGCCACCTACATTGGCGTTAAATAGCGGCGAGTTGCGGAACTCCAGTCAGAAGCTCTGAGGAAGGTGTCTGATAGACATCGAAACGTATTACTAAGCAGGTGAGAAACTCTATGGTTGTGTAAGAAGAAAATTCTATACCCACCACATCTTTAACCTACATGACATTGTATATCATATAACCTGCATTATATCCGAATGAAGGGTAAACCACAGTGATTTCTTAAATTAAGAAAATCAATCCTTATACAGTTACAAAATCATCATACAGGTACAGGTCCTAGATGTTGGGTTTAGACAGATGTGCATGTATGTAAATGTCCAGGGCATTTATGACATGTACAGTTGAAAAGAAAGTGCTATAACTGTTACAGTAATACATGGATGCTGAAAAATGTGGCTGAAAGGGTAAACACAAATTGAAAATATGTCATCATATGTCTAGATATTCAGAATTCAGCTCAGATTTAATAACACAAAGCCCATCAGGGGAAGGGATCCATTCAAATTTTCTGATTAATGAATAATTCCATATCTATACTCGACTTGATGACACCTGTGCAAATTATGTGAAAGTTTTTTGCCCCCTCCCCCACACTAACCCTGTTAACAACTGCCCTTCCTTCCTACTGCGATGACCCTGACACTTTGGGAGCATACTAACGGTACGGTTAGTCCGGTACGCGATACGGGATCTACACGTCGCACAACTACCCTCAGGGTTACCACGCAGCAGGGGTCACGAAGGTCAACGACTTGTCGATCCAATCAATACTGATAGCATTGGTCTTCACCATTATCAAGTCATGCCTACAATTAGGGCGCCGGAGATTTCGCAAATCTTTTTCAGTAAATCATTTTTCGCCAGTCGTTCTTCTCAGAAAGTGGGAACCTGATGAAATTGGGAGGAAGTTACTCATTTATGGCCGTATTGACCATGCCGACTTAATTCAGTCAACTGCATTATACAGAAGTGCACTGTGCCACAGGTGGATGGAACAAAGAAAATTTGTTTTCCCTGAAAACTATAAGTGATAGTGGAAGTGGTATTGACTTTCTTAGTTTGAAGTACTACTAACCCTTCCACTCCAATGGCCAAATACTTATTATGGATTTTATATCAGTCCACTTCAATGTCGTACTAAACATTTGCACACATTCTGCATTCCATCTTTAAAGATTTTTTTACACAAAGTACTACATGTATCTGGACACTCAGTTATCATAATTATAATATTTTGCCAGAATGTATGTCAATTAAAATGCTATTTTCTGCATAGTATTTCTTTCTCTGTAATGTTTAGGGCTGCAGTATACATGTACATATACATGCACTGTATGTAGCTTACATACAGTGCCCCCCTCCCCACTTTCCCACAGCACACAACAGATGGCACATTTGAATGAGAAGCACCTCCTTTGTCCTGTCTTGAATTTCAAGCTAACCATTGTAGCAGCAAACATGTGTGTCTATATATATTGGATCCATATGTATCATTCACATCAACAATCTCTTGCGTAGACTACCGACATCCAGGTTAATAAAGCAATCCAGAACAATGAGGAATAGATTACATGCGTACGTGAAAGGAGAAATGAAAAGCAGTGTTCATCTACACCAAAGCGTGACAGGCCTTGTCGACTTGATTGCATTAAATGGCACATATGCATTCAAGCTACAAAATCTAATAGCAATTTTGAAGGACATTACCATCTCATTTTCCTGAGCGGGATCCTAAAATGATTATGACAGGGGTGAGAAAGGGAGTATCCATAATATTCACCAAGCAGCTGCCATGATTGAACCGGCAGCCATGATGAGCTTGGTCACATGACCTCAGGTCAGTGCTACCGGAATAGGTCACAGGTCAAAGGGCACATTCCAGAGGTCGGTACCCAACTTCCTGCCTCCTCTATGTTGTTATGGAGATGGGAGAGAATTTTTACATCCCCCCATTAACATTTTGCCAGCCAATTTCCAGGTAAAATATGCTTTGACGCCAGGCCCCTTTGTTCTCTCAGGAAAGCCTAGCGGGTGGAGCCTGCGGAGGATTACGGCTGGATTGTGGAGAGACGCGTGCAGCGCACGAAAACATCCCCTCTGCCAACAGCAGACTTTGTGACAAATGTCAACGGTTTTGTAAGCTGTTCTGCTTCATTAAATCGTCCTGCTTAATTAATTGAGGAACTAATGAGGCACAGCAGACTCAAAGAGCATGCTCATCCTAGTCACCAGTAACATGATAACATTTACATTCCAAAAGGGCTCCCTGCTAGTTTGTTTAACGTACAGAAGAGTAGACCACCCAGAACATTGAAGCACTGACTGTTCCTGTATATGGGCAGACAGCTATAAATCCACAACAAAAAGACTACACGGTAAAAATAAACTGCTTCCACACAGGACAAAATAGATGCAATTTATCCAATTGAATTGAAAGTCTGTGTGGACAACAATTCACATTGTTGGGGTACTAGTAACGTTACTTGAATTGTGAAGATCTTGGTTCTAAACATTCTTTTCAGTTTTATTTGATAATGTTGCAAAGAAATTCCTGGAAATCTGAGTAGCAATTTGTCGTATGTTTGTACCTTTATGTGTGAAAGACTCAATTCAATACATCTTTTCTGTTGTTCTTGCCACCTGGGCTCATTTTATTATCTATAGACTTTTTTTCTAAGAATTGTTTGGTGTTATTTGCCTTGTGACATTTCGAGTTCAGCACATTAAAACTCCTACATGTCACTTCGGAGTAATGAAGACAAAGGGGCGTGCTTCTGGAAACCCTGATAAGCTTACGTTTCTGTTAATTAAATCTGCAAATTCATATATAAATGCATAACTAAGTAAGTCAAAACATAAAGTCGATCACAGTTGTTCTAATTTAGATAGGATACAATGGCAGAAACCAGGCATATACAATGGATTGAGTTAATTGTTTTTAACAGTAATGAGAAAGTTGGCATTTCGCTTTCGCAAGTATTTGTTTCTTGCTTCAAGTTGCCTGATTAGGATTCCAAAGTTACTAATTCAGCAATTTCACGTGGAACGGAAAGAACACAGACTGTCATGGTAATGTGAATTTCCAACTGAAATTAGATAGTACATTGCAGTATTGCATTGCTGTGTAGTGATCAATTATATAGAAATGCTACCAAGTTACATTTCTGTATAATCACTCCAATAGTCTTTCAACCAAAAGCATCTACGGATATTTTATCCTCACACTAAAAAAAAAAATAAAGACTGTAGCATGTTCAGGACAAAAGATTAAAAACAAAAGTTCTTCTGCAGTACCAAGATCAGCCACCAGGAGGCCCAGATTTGACCTTGACTCTTTGCCTTCCTAAGACCTACTACCAACATACCAAATATCATAACCATTCATAAAGGCCTTCTTACTAGTGATGCCGACTACAAGGACGTGGAAACACACACACAGACAGGCCAAAAACAATTCCTACATTTCCATGTACATTGTAGGTAATGATTATGTTGCCCAGAACAGGATTTGAGGACAACTTTTGTCATGTTCAGAAGAAGTAGTTAGGACATCTCACTCCCCGAAACCGAAAGCTGGATCAGAGTTCGGTAAGCTATCTTCAGTTATGGGATTATACCCCACAGCTCCACTGACAAGAAAGCAGTACAAACTTAGTTACAGTGAACCTGTGCCAGACTCGCTCGACTTCGGTCTTCCATCTGTGTGTATAAGTACATGCACCACTGAATGTAAAACTCCTGGACACTCCATGCTGCAGTCCAAAAGGTGGATAACTAACCCAGGGACAGGTCAATGATCAATATTAGTCAGGAGTAGCCCGGGCGTGATGAATGGCAAATCAATGCCTCTCCTGTCGACACAACTCACATGTGTGTGATCACCCAGGATTGGCTACAAATTGCAATCAACAGGACTTGCCCGGGATATCAGAGGCCAAACTTTGTAGTGATCAATAACATTCCCCCAGATATAGACCTCTCGGCGCGATCAATTGCGATTGGTTACAAGCTACAATTAAATGCGATCAGAAGTCAATCGTCTGCACTAATTCCGATGATGAGCGCACTCTCGACTCAACTCCGGGCTATCGATTTCCGCGTCCAGCCGCTAAAATCCGGGCCACCGCTGAGTCAACTTCCATGTAAGGCAAAGCTCCCTATCAGTAAGTTACTTAAAGAAAATCAAATTATTTGGCTTTCTAATTTCACAATGTAATTACCGGTCTCACAACAGCCCAGTTAAGGATGGCGTGAGGTTGGAACGTCCCTGGCTGACGTCTCGGCTCGATAGATCACGAGGGGGTGGAGCTTCTTCACCGCAGGGTACATTCTGGCCCTAAAAGCTTTTTGTCATGTTGTGGAAATGTTTCCTCTTTTTACTTGGAGGTGGCTACAAGCACTAGGCGCTAACAAACTAAATTATTGATCCAGCTGTAACTAATCACTGTTCAGCAGTCATTCTATGCCGAGAAAAGTAGTGACTTCTGGAAAATTTAGAAAATACAACAAAAATGTGTACAAATAGTGCAAACAAACGTAAGAAATACCATATTGCCATTTTCTAATCTCCGAAATCACTCATTTGAATACATGTACACATGAGCCTGCTTTCTTATCTAAAAATTCATCTAACAAATAAATCATCTGTTTTGAGTGCATCAAAAATTCATCACACAGAAAAAAACTACATGCATAACCTCTCTTAGGATACAAAGCATTGAAATATACAAATATTATTTCATTACCACAGTATTTCAGTTTTCTTTAGCATGGGCTTTTCTTTCTCTGTATGTCAATGTGCAAAGCCATATT